GCGTTTGCCTCTTTCACAAACCCAAATCACTTGTTGAAACCCTCTAAGATTCACGGCTTGAACTGTTAAGCACGTGAAGCATTTATAAGTTATCAAACCCCAGTTTCATCGAACCGGTTAGAGGTGGTTTGAGTGTAACAGTACTGACAACATATACATGTAAAAGGTATAGAATGAAATTACTTTAAAACACACGGAAAATATATGCACCACTCATATTTCACGGATAAGATTAATTTCCTTTTATATTCTACCAATAGGACTTTTTTTCAATAATTCATTTCATGCCACTTCTAATTTCAATGACAATTGTCACATTTATCTACCACGTTTTTTAAACGATGTCTTAATTAAGAAATAAGTGAAGACAATCGGTTGCTAAGTTAGAACTAGACAATAATAACGATAATGCATAACAAAGATTCTTCCGATGGTACTACGACATAAATATAAATAAGGACAAAATATCCTACGTATCTCTGGGATACCCCCTATGTGGTGATACATAAATCTCACCTTTTTCAGCATACTTTTCTAATATCTTTATTCTCTTTTGCACATCCAAGACTTTACTCGTAACACTTTTCTTATAATGCTTCCTCAGATATTTTTTTGATTCTATCAGGTAGTATTTTTCCTTACTCGTAATACACTGATACATTCTACTTGGCGCTTTTTATGTCTATTAAATTTTATAGAATTATTATCATAATACACCCTTTTTTGTTTTCCAAAAATTTTATTTTACCGGTTTCGCCCTATTACTATGCATTATCTCGCAGTTATAATATTTAACAAACCTAATAATGTACTTCAGTACTTCCGTTACCTAAATAAAGGCGAGATAAGAATAAATAGTCATATATAGTAATAGTATCCGATAACTAATAAGATAAAAATAAATTAGGAAGTACGTACGTACGTACGTAACAACACAAGTAATACAAATTAAAAGTTTAACGAAGGTTGAGGCTTTTTTTTTTTATCAAGATATATTGTCTAACATGCATGATGTTTATCGTGAATAAGTCCAAAAATTTGAAAGAACTTGTCAGGCAAGTTTAATTATTAAAAAATTTATTTGAAATAATTTTGATTTTTTTACCAACTGATTAGGTTCAAATATTCAATAGATGCATGATCTAGCAAATTTATTAATTTTGATGGTATATTTTTGCATTCTATAAATTTTCTAATAATAAATAAAACAGTTATAATATATAAATATATATTACTTTTCAAATATAATATTTTTTATAAAAATTAATAAAAATTATAATAAGTATTGCTATTGCAAAATAAAAAGCAAAATTTAATTGTTTATTAAAATATAAGTTTAAATCCAAATCCAAATAACAAGTTACGTACTATCGTATTTACCTACCACGAGTACCTCGGTATTACCCTTCCTCGGGATACTCGTGTAGAGGATGAATAAGAATATGTTTTATAAGTGTAAGTAAGGGCGCCGCTGGCGCCCCTTTAGAGATCATATTTTTGATTTCAAAATAATCATGTTTCACTTGCTCAGTAATGCTGAAAGTTTGACCTGAATAAAGAGTTTCTAAAAAAAAACTTTAAGGAGAAATCGAAGAATCACTATAAGAATTTTATTACAGAGCTTACTCGCTATTTCGGTGACTATAGTATGTGTTTGATTTTTTTGTTTGCACTAAAATTATCATATTAGAATTATTGTAATTCTACCATGAGATACTGTAAAATTCTGCTACAAAACTCGCTATTTTACTGATCACACTATTGGATAGGGTTAAGGTAGTTTGCACTTAAAGTCGTCTTGATTTCTATGTGATTAAGGAGAGAAAGTTTCTTTGAAATTATAATTTTTATCGTGAGTTACTGTAAAAAACTGTTACAGAGCTTACTTGCATTCTAGCTTGTATCAAATTACTGTATCGTTGATTTCATTGTCAAAGGTTACTATTCTTTCACTAACGCATATTATTATCGCTCTTTTCGATTTAGTTGGATCGACAATCTGCATAATTTTTTTTTTGAGTCCGGTGAGTCATGTGGTTACAATGAGGGTATTACTTCATCTTCGTCTTATCTTATGGGACTCATTTTAGAATTCTTAATTTCTTTTTTTGCTTTTTTTGATAAAAAAATACGACGAACATAAAGTAGTTTTCTATCTTGTATTCACGAACTCTCGGAATTCAAAAAACATTATGCAGATCGTCGATCCAACTAAATCGAAAAGAGCGATAACCTATCAATATCCCAATTAATAATATAACTTACGTGTGCGACCCTATAAAAAAAAGTTAAAAATCATATTCAGATTATGTTCAAATTATATTGATTTATAATATTATCACGCAAGAGACTGTGAATGCCACAGTTAATACGTAACTGGTATTCTTGATTCGTATAAATATAAATTATTAATTCATAACGATAACGATAAATTGATTACGAATATATGTCGTACATTAATCATGCAAATTATTGATAATTACTTTGACAATCATGTGTGGAATATTGCTGTATTGCAATAATTACTCAAATTACAATTTTCTAACAAATTCGAATACATGACAGCATTACCGTAAATAAATCATAGCGATAGACGGGATCATCTTTGCTAGGAAAATCACCCTTCGGGATTTTCCAATCGACTAATTCGGAAAAGTTTAAACCAGAATGCCGATTCTTATTCATGTGTAAATCACTTTTCGCTTTATTGATTCGATAGTTTGTTAAATACATATGAATAAAGAACCGGCATTCTGGTCTAAGCTTTTCCGAATTAGCCCGATCGGAAAATCCCGAAGGGTGATTTTCCTAACAAATATCCCAAATAGTAATGGCTGACTAATAATCGTAATTTAGTGTGGTGTGGTACAGTATATTATTAGATAACGATAATACTTGTCAAATTTGGTTTAGAATTCCAAAAACTGATAAAGCATATTAACGATAACGACTTGTAATGTTCTTGATTAGATATCGATATCAATATGTATTTTTTAGTATTCTATATTGTAAATTTCAATATTTACTAAAAATAAAATTTATTTAATGCCCAATATTATAAATTGATAGATTCAAAAACTTGAAAATCAAGTTTTGTTTAATTTTGCTGTTTTTCCTCCACGAAGACCCCCGTGCGTTGTGGAGACCCAATTTTTGATTTATACCTTAGTACTTAATTATAGTAATACAGTTTATATTTAAGTACCTAGGCATGTAATAATTTTTTCCCTCTTATTATAAAATTATCTTTCTCTTACATTTTTCCAACCGTTTTGTTAATGTGAAAATGAGATATTGCGACACACGATACTGTAAATTGATAGATTCAAAAAACTAGTTTTTGTTTGGTTTTGCCGTGCACTAGATAAATATGGTAGCTAATTCTTAAATTATTTATAGATTTATAAATCTATCAAATAATAAAAAAAGAATAAGTTTTCTTTAATCCTTTGAATAAAATTTTTATATTTTGCGAAAAGTTTTTACATTTCATAAAATAATTTTTTAGATGACATCCTCTTCACGATGAATATATGCGCATTTGATAAGGCGATTTTCAACTATACTTATCCGTACCAGTAATAGGCTTTTCGCGAGGTATATTTTCTTAGTTAACTTGCCGTATATTTAAATTACATAATCAAAAATTAATATTGGGCATTCATCAAATAATTGGGTTATGTAATGATTTATGATATGGGCATTCATCAAATAATTGGGTTATGTAATGATTTATGATATATTGGGCATTCATCAAATAATTGGGTTATGTAATGATTTATGATATATTGGGCATTCATCAAATAATTGGGTTATGTAATGATTTATGATATATTGGGCATTCATCAAATAATTGGGTTATGTAATGATTTATGATATATTGGGCATTCATCAAATAATTGGGTTATGTAA